AGAAAATGATAAAATGTTAGGTTAGGAACATCAAAATCTTAACTTTTCTTAGAAAATATTCTGTTATCAGCATTTTTTTAGAAATGTATTCTATAGAATGGGTACTTTATATTGTTTAAATTAATTTTTCAAATTCCGTCGTACCTAAAGCGTACCGGACTCTATTTTTTACTTATAAGTATACCTTGCTTACAAAAATGAGAAACGAAGATACTTTTATTTTCTTTTATTATTTATTTATTTCTGTATCATTCTAAATCGAAAAATAAACTAGCTTACACACATACATTATAATGCATCAGTGAGTTATCAATGTCTAATTTATTCTGTATTTATACTAGGTATTCATTTGAATAATTATTAAACTTTGTATTTATACTTGTAACTATTCCTATTTATTTATATTCTCTTGAATATATATTATTACTATTATATCATCTTTCTGCATTTTTAACATAACCTATTTTTAACTGCTACGACAATAATAAGAAATATGTCCACTTTTCAATCAAATCAAAGATCGGTACGCGCATACGCAGCCAGTGAGGACTCGGCAAGCGGTAGGACTCGGGAGGATGGTTAAGAAAAAAATATCTGCGTCCGGATGAGCTAGAGACTTGAAAGTTGGTAGGTGCACAGGGTTTTGATTTTTGATAACAATAGAAATTATTACTTATGGACCTTCTTATTTATTAATCGAGTTGTCTCAAACTTAAAATTTCGCGTTGTTTAAACATGTCGCTGAATACAATTTTTGACTAATAAATCCACAACAACGAATTCCTGTATCAGCCACCGGACTAAAGTGAAAGGGGTTGTTTACATCTTTAGAAGACGTGTCGCCTCTCTATTTCGCGTCGGCGCACTAGAATTCGGTTCCCCAGCTGTCGCTACTCAACGGTTAATATACTTTGTCCTAGATATGACTCTGTGCTCGTAAAACAAGTGATAATATTTCAAAGTGGCATGTGTCAGACGAACTATCGTGCTCAGACCACAGAAAGATTAGATTTGATTTAATTACCCCACCTCGAATTTCAACTAAATACAGAAACCCTAGGGAGACGAACTGGGAAAGGTATTCAACATCACTTGGAGAGTATCTCGAAGAGAGTATGGTGGAAATAACAGGTAAACAAAGTCTTGACCAAGCAGTAGACCAAGTAAGTAAGGCCATTATAACCGCTTAAGAGGAAAACTGTCCGAAAAAAAACAAGGCAGTAAAGAACAAAAACAGTCTGGTGGAACAAACCCTTGGAACGCCTTAAAAGCGAAGTGCCAAGGCTATTTAATAAAACCAAGTCAACCGAAGAATGGGCTCTATATAAGGCTAAACTCACGAAACTCACGAGATAAGAAAGGCTTAAAGGCAATTGTGGAGGAAGTTCTGTGATGAGTTATCTGAAACACCCACATGCTCTAGAATCCACAAAGTCCTAGCTAAGGAGGGTACTGCAAACCAAGTAGGATTTCTCAGGAAAGATGATAAAACCTATAAAAAAAGTTTCGAAGAAACGCTAACAATGCTCACAGAAGTAAACTTTCCCGATAGTAGCATACATCCCTCAAATAAGGTCTCGTATGCCAACTTTTTTGGAATAAAGGCTAGCTACAGAAATATCGAGGCCGAACAAAATTAGATGGGCTACAAAGAAATTTTAACCATACAAATCCCCAGGAGTAGATGGAATATATCCCATTCTACTACAAAAGGGACAGGAAACTTTAATTCCACATTTGTGTCGCATATTTAAAGCATGTATACCCTGGCAACATATACTAAAGGCCAGAGATAAGGGACATAATGATTGGAAACGCAACGACCGCAGCACCGATGGCGTCATCTAGCGTCTCAGATGTTAACTACAGGTCTACGTCGTTTGTAGAGAGACCAGTGTTGCCAAATATTTTTTTTGAGAGATCGTACAAGTAGAGTAGAAAAATGGTATTTCGATACAAAAATTGTACAATAGATACATGCATAGCATAATATAAAAAAAAAAAGCTTTGATGTGATAATTTATTTATCTATTTATAAAAATGTTTACAACGAAAAAAAAAAACTTATAAAATACATGAAACTTTAACACATTTAAAGTAATCAATGACTGTCTCTTGAAAGTGATAGTCGGTGTACAAAATTACCATAGTCAAAATCACGATAAGTCAACGAAAATAACTGCCTTCAGAAATTACGAACGGCCTATGAATCTTTGCAAGTAGTTTTTGATTTTTATTGTTTTATATTCTGAAGTTGTTGCAGACATTTAAATAAACCTACTAAAAAAAGTAAAGATCGTATTTTCACGTACGATGTCACGGATGAAATCGTACATCGTACAGAGAGTTAAAAATTCGTATAAATACGATTTAAATCATACGGTTGGCAACATTGAGATAGACAGTAGACGTGGACAGTTTGTAAATATAAATGTCAGTTTTATGTATATCGAAGAATCCTGAATTTAAATTTTAAATTTTGAGTTCATGATTGTGTTATCCTCTAGATGAACTAAGCGAAATAGTTGTGACTGTTTTTGTGTGAAATTTAAGGACAATAATTATATTTTGTAATATTACAATAAGTCGGAGAACGTATTACATTAGTAACACATGCCACATGAACAAATTTAACGACCCCAATGTGGCTTTTTTATTCATGTAACACAAATAGTAATCAACTTTTGTCACAAAGTAGGTGTTTATGTATTATTTGTTGTTTTAGAACAAGAAAATGGCTTTAAAACGTTAGAAAGATTTGATATAGGCAGAAAAATATCTGAATTCCCATTATTGAATTTGCACTCAACATTTTTAAATAAGATACTGTAAGTGTAGTATTCTTTTTAATAAATAATTTAGCGTAATTACATTGTTTAAGTTTATTTACAAGAACATGAGAGTGCAGTCGATATTTATGCAATCTTTATTATCAGGTTTTTAAATTTCCCGCTGCGTTGTTTGATATTGATGAAAGCGCCACACATGTTAACTGCGATTATTACCTTTTCTCCTTCAGATTTATAGGGGATGGAAGGGTTATTTCTTTTTATTAGCTCAGTTTTATAAAATTCGGGAGAGTAGGGTCGGGTTCTTAGACACAACGCAAATTTTTATAAATTCAATTTAATTTTTGACAGCGTCTGACATTTATTTCAGAGGTTAGATGTACCGAAGAGTAACAAAAAAAATATATATATAATCTGAATATAAAAAAAAAGATACCACGCCGTGATTCAGTAGGTAAAATAATAATTATATATATCATGCAATTGTATCTACAAATTATCGTTACAATCCGAGGTACACGTCCGCAAATAGGCCTAAATGTTACAAACGGTAATCCAGAATTGTAAGTAAGCTTTATAAAATGGCTTTACCTCTATATATAACCCTAATATTATCAATTTCTAAGGTAAATTACGTGAATTATCTCGATTATCTCAAAACCTTTGTAGGTAGAATCACAATTAGTGGACCCCAGTTGAGGTCATGTGGTACCCACGATAAATGGGGCCCTTGGCTATAAGGAATAGTCTTACTTTATATCTCTGCGTCGTACCTCTGGCCTGTCTGTAAAAGGAGGGCTAGATCCAGCCGATTTGCTGTAGGGGTTGGTTCTGGGGTACCTGGCTTCCTAAACTAGCTAAACATGCATCCAATCCTTGTAGAATGTTAGCTGGCAGTGTTCAAAAACTGTAGCAGTTTAGTGATAGTACCACGAAGAAAGCTTGGAAGGAAGTGTATTAGTCCGAAGGAAAGTCGATAGATCCCACAGAAAGAAATACCCAGATAGATATAAGTAGAATAAGTATTAAAGTAGAAGCTGAAGTTAAAGTTGAAGGTGAAATTAAAGGTCTGTAAGAAGGATTAGTGTAAGCCACACATATAAACAGTCTTAAGCGATAGGTTAGAATAGGGTTGAAAGTAGAATAAGCTACAAAATTAGAAGTCTTACGATTCATACAACGGTTTCTGTAAGTAAAACAAATCCAAAATAGAATAGGCCTAGATTATAAAGTAGATTAATGTAGAATAGAATAGATTAGAATAGAATAACTTAGAATAGGGTAGAATAGATTAGGATTAGATTAGAATAACTTAGAATAGGGTAGAATAGATTAGGATTAGATTAGAATAACTTAGAATAGATTTAGGATTAGATTAGAATAACTTAGATTAGGGTAGAATAGATTAGGATTAGATTAGAATAACTTAGAATAGATTTAGGATTAGATTAGAAGTTAAATTAAATCATAAATAAAAATAAAGTTGTGTATTGTTTACTAGCTCTGCCATTTTAACTTGGCTACGATATTTTGACCCGTAACACGATAAAGTTGGTCGTTGTTAAGCATTGGCTTTTTATGGGCGTTTCCTATCTTTATCTCCCTTATCTCTGCTAAAGGCGTCGCAAAAGGTGAAATTCATATACCTTCCTAAAGTAGAAAGGTTTAATGATATGACACCAAAGTCGTACAGCCCAATCAGTTCCCTGTGTAACAGAAGAAAGTTATTCCTACTGTTGAGACGCCGATATACTGAAATGTTCTCAGCTGTTAATAAGCGGACTTTACGTACGTGATTGTTTGCATGATGTATATTATATTTTGGTTCTATTGTATTGAAGCGAGAGAACAGTAGTTGTTACTCAGGAGATAAAAGATGTATGTTTTTTGAATGTGTGGGCTTTGAACGCAGGTATTTTGTTGCTATCAGCTTTGGAATGTGAGTGTTGACTTGTGTACATGATCAGCCTGGGAATGCTAAATTTAAATTGAATGATGAATATTACGAAATTGAAACAACCACATAGATAGTTTTTAATTTTAGTTTGTTTTCTTTGTTACATTGGGTAATATTATAAAATATAACAAAAATCAAAAACAAAAATAAATAACAGAAAATAAACAGTTATTGTGATTTATCAACATTACCTTAAATACTAAACGTATTATTTATGTATTACTTTATTTATTTATTTATTTATTTATTTATTT